GTATATATATATATATATATATATATATACACACACACACAAATCATTCACCCGCTAGTCAGTATTATACAAGCGGTTTGTAAAGTGCTTTGGGATCCTGCCAGATAAGGGCTGTATACACAAGGTAATTATGATAATGATTATTATTATTTCACTTCACGCATTATGACAGAGTACCTTAGCTATCCATCACTCACTGAAGAAAACTCTCAATTTCTTTTTAGCTATTATAGATATCAGAGTACTTTATTTACCTCCTAAAATTTAAAAAAGTTCATGGCGTTAAGCAGATGTGCTTAATATATTTGAAAATTTGCATATATTGTAGTAGTATAAAGATCCATATGCACCGTACTCATTTTTTCTTTCCTCTCTACTAATTAAAACACATAGGAAATAGCTATGCTGTCTTTTTGTTTATGGTGCTGGACACTGTATAAACACAATAGACAATCAGTGACCAAAACAGTTTGTAGTCTAAGGCTCAGTTCTGCAAAAAAATTGCACCTGTGCTTAGAGTTAAGTGTGTGAATAGTCTCATTAAGTTACTCAAATGCTTAAGTGCTTTATTAGATTGGGGCCATAGAGGTCCAATATCACTAATGGACTGTGAATGCAAACCCTTACTTCAGCTCAAAATTCCAGTAGGACTCTATGTTGAAGATAGGGTCCATGTGTGCAAATGTGTTTACAGGATTAGACCTATAGTTTTCAAAGTAATATTCCAGCAGAAACTGGGGAAGGAATCATTCTATCCCTGAACCACTCCCTATCAACCATTAATTTGTTTGAAAAATATTAATGGGACATATCAATTCTAGATAAAACCAGGAGATGAGTAGGGGAGTTGTAAAAAGGAACTTCTTCAATGACAGGGGCAAAGAGTTTATGGACAGAATGTATAAAATGAATTCTTTTCTTGACGCTAATGGTCCATCACCTTATTTACTGATTTAATAAAACTAACCACACAGGCACTTGGTGAAATTTTTTTTTTAAATCTACTGAAATTCTGTGAATATTTTTGTTTGGTCATTAATTTTATAATCTTTGTACTTGGATACTTAATAACAGTTGAAGCTGTGCAGGGACCTTCTTTATATTTGAACAATTCATCTCTGGAAAACAACTATGTCCCTGGGCTTCGCAACTAAAAGGACACACTGGTGATAATAATCTAAAGGATTTTTTTTATTTCCTTTTCTCATCTGCAACAGTGGACAATGCTGCTTCATGTGTTTGAAGTGCCAATATTCCAGTCATGCAGCAGAATGTGTTTTCTTCTATTTTTGACAATCATGTTCTCTGTTTACAGTGCTCTCTCCTGAATTGCTTAATACCAGAGAAACTTTGCTTATATTAGTTTCAGTTCTTCCTTGACATTAGAGAGCCCATGGGATAAAACAGTCCTAAGAGCAAGCTATATCTAGGTGTGAATAAATAAGACTGAAAAAATTACAAAGAGCTTCTAGTGTCACTATCAAAGCCCTGTGGAGATACTTCTGGAAGTGCTAGGCCAACCACTAGTATTATCTGCAATGGGCGGGGGGGGGGGAGGAAGAGGTAGATTGAACACCAAAGCTTCCCCAAAGTGGAGATGGAGAGGGGGATGGAAGACACACTGCTGAGTGAGAAGGGCTTTTGTCTTTACCTATCCATCCTATTATCTTGTTGTGAGATTAACCCCCTGCCCTCACTCTGCCAATGAGGACAGCCTCAGTAGTTTGCATCTCCCAGAATCAATTTCAGGCTCTCTCCCTTACTGTTACTTGTGTGTCGGAAAAATCTCCACCTTCAGGTTCCTCCTTAAAACTCACCTCTGCTGCTATGTATACAGAAAACTAGCATTGGATAATGGCTAGGCAGGTGGCAAGTTGTGATTCCTGATACTGATTGGCTATGAATTGTGCCCTATGCTTGTCTGTACCGACATCCTACTATTTGATATCCCATCCTCTTCCTCCTCCCTTTCCTGACATGTATGTAATTTAGGCAATAAACTCTTTGGGACACTGATTCTTGTACAGCATCTAGCACAATCAAGCCCTGGCCTGGCTGAGATCTCTTGTTGTTACCACAATATAAATGGCAAATAATCATAATGAACAGCCTTGATAGAAGAAAAAAATATTGCAGTCATGTCAACAACTCAGATTATTCACCATTGTTCTGTTTCATTTTTAGGCATGGACATGCATTGACAATGGCAGGCAACATAGCATTTGTATTTGGAGGCTGTTCCATTTATAATACCTTTGTAAGTGCAGCTGGATATCGTTGCCATAATTTATTGAACTGTTAACACTGAGCAATTTGTGGTAGAACTGTATTCAGTTACATCATTTAGTGCTTTTTATTTTAAATCTAGTTTTACTGTTTGTTGTTCTGAGTTCAGAAATGTTTACTTAAGAATCGTTGCAGAAGCATTCCATGTATTGTGTGCTGTGATGTATTTCAGTACTACACCCACTGCTCCCTGGTAACCATCTGTGTATTATTTCTTGTACCAGTCACTGTTTAATTAAAAGGGTTTTCTCTACTTTGGTGGCATTATTAATGTCCTGAAAATAAATATATCAACTTCAATTTCTTTCTCTGTCTCTCTCCCCCAGGATGATCAGCGAACATATTTCAATGACTTCTACATGTTGACAAGTGAGATATTTTTCATCTTTTGTGGCAGGCAAAATACTCATAGGTTTATTCCTCTTTTTGGAGTTGCACATATTTCACTGTGATAGGATGATCATTTGTGATACATATAACGTGTTATTACCATAGAAATAGTTAAGGGTTACTGCAAAAAGCAGTGAGACCAAGACTAAAATTGCTTAACAATAGTTTAAAAATTATTTCAGGTTTTCTTCCTGTTCTGCTAGGTTTGAATAGATGTACTGAAACAAAAGCTGCATAATTATAATTCTCCATGGATTTGAATGTACTTAATATCATCAACCAACATCTCCTCACTTAGAGTATTACCGAGTGAGCTTGTTTAGATATATTTTACAATCTATTTGCTGATCTGCTGTGATTAATTATTTCTTTATATTTTTGGAGCAGTGATATTAGTATAATTTGCTGCTGCCAAATTACTAGCAAATAGAATGCCCAAATTCATGAGTGAAGTTTATCAGCTTGAGACTTGTACTTCTTGCAGCCAGACATATTGCAAAGGAAATGAGTTTGTCTTGGAAGGACAGAGAGAAAGGGCAAGGGACTGGTAGCTCAAAGTTTTCTTCTTGCAGCTGGTGGACACTCCATGGCTCACTATGGGCATTAGTTTCACAGGAAGCAGCACAATCTTTTTCTCAAACAAAAATAAAAAGATTGCAGGGAGAATAAGGCAAGTCTATTTTTAAAAGTGTACTAGTTGTAAATGTGCCTTATGAGAGAATATTATTGAGAATTTGAAGCATAACACTCCTTTTCAAACTTACTTTTCAGTGTGTTTATCTAATTACATTTTATAGAATGATAATGATTTTAATAATCAAACATATCCTTATTTATCAACAGTTACTCTTACTGATTTGACTTGGGAAAGGATACCTCATGATGGACATATTCCTTGTGCCAGAGAAGGTCATACACTTTGGTAAGCAAAGAATTCAGAACTTTCCCTGCCATCAGTTTGATAAATCTTTAGGTCATTCTCTCACACTTCCTCATTGTTATTTGGACATTTTGTTCACTTAAGTAATGAATCCTTGTAGTATTACTCCACATGCTAATCAGCAACTTTTGAAAAATTAAATCACATAAGGAAAAATCAAATCTTTCCATTTCAAGAGAATTGCTAAAAAGCCTGAATTCTGGTGGTAACTTAAAAATTGGAGATCACGTTCAACAAGTATTAGAATAAAAAACTAAATGGGTTGTTATAGGCATCTGTCTTTTTCTGTAGACAAAGCTCCCAGAGTTCAAAACTGGATATAGCATCAAGCAATACACAAAATCATGAATAATTAAATAAGGATACACCATTAAAGAAATGAAATAAATAACAAAAGCTAGTAGTGGCAGTAGAAGAATTTACTCATGAGTAAATATATCGGTAACATTCTGGATTGTTTAAGTGCCTAAAAGTTGTATACTGCAACTTTCACAGGCCAGCCTATTTAGAGGAAAGTTTGCTTAATTCTGCATTCCACAGCTGCAGGATATGGAAGATTTCCCACTCTTGATTAGCAGTTGTGGCAAATTTCAGCTTGATTGGACTGTAGGTTTTCTTCAGCCATAAGAGTGGTTCATCGAAAAATTACTTGCTAATTCAAAATTTTATGGTCTTGCACAAGTAGGGTGACCAGATGTCCCGATTTTGTAGGGACAGTCCCGATTTTTGGGTCTTTTTCTTATATAGGCGCCTATTACCCCCCACCCCCATCCCAATTTTTCACACTTGCTGTCTGGTCACCCTATGCACAAGATTCACCCATAGGAAAGTAAAGAGTTCAACTTTAGAAATGTGTGTTTCACATTTTTATTTGATAACTATCAAATTCGATAGTAATTATGTTTCCTTCCTGCCAGAGCCTTTCCTCACTGCATGTAGTTATAAACCACAATGTGGACACATCCATCTTTTCACTGTGGCATGTGGCTACACTACACACTGCCACAAGTGTAGACATAGCCTACATAGTAAATGGTAACTATCACTTGGGTTCCAGTGTACTCCTCGGCTATTTGGTGTGAATGGGAGCAAAATTGCAGAAATCTCATGTGGTTGAGAAGGGAGCTATGGGAAAGGCAATTGCACAGTAGCATTTTCCCCTACAGGGTAGCCAGCAGCAGCCACTGCATGACCATTTTAGAAAACCACTCTATACGGCAATTCCATCTTTCAATACATAGAATGAACTAAAGAGGTTGAGTTAATGTTGCTGGGAGCAGCCTTATTTCTAGTTGTATACTCCAGTCACCCAACAGGAGAAATCATTCAGTGCAGGCAGTGACCAAGACACTATGAATTCCATATTTCTTTAAAATTAACACACAAGCAAACATTTTCAAACCTGCATGCCTAAAGGTAGACTCCTAGATAAGAGTGGCCTGATTTTCAGAGGTGCTGAGCAACTGCAGCTCCCATTGACATCACTTGTGTTCCCAAGAAAAAATGGTTGTTCAGTGACCTGTACTTCCCTTGACTTTAATAGAAGCTGTAGGTGCTCAGCAAGTCTCAAGATAGGGCCTTTGTTTTTAGCCTAAAAGTTTAAAAATTAGGCACCAAGTTTAAAAATTTTGGACACAGTATCTCCGTAAAATAAGGGCCAGATATCCTGAACAATGTTTCTTTGATTAATTTAAATGATAGCTAGCACCCATAGGCCCACATACCATTTGGCTAAGTTATTTAAGAATGAGGACATGAGGGATCACTCAGTGTTTCAATATCAAGAATCATATTGAGCATAGAAATGTAGGGTTAAAGGGACCTTGAGAGTTCATCTAGTCCAGTCCTTTGCTTTGAGGCAGGACCAAGTATACGTTGACCATCCCTGACTAGGGTTGCCAACTTTGTAATATTTTTTAAATGGAACCTCCTCCACCCCTCCTCTTCTCCCCGCCCCCACCCTGCCTCTTCCCTGAGGCCTTGCCCCCCATTCACTCCTCTTCCCCCCACACTCCCCATCACTTGCTGCTCTTCCCCACCCCCGCCCGTGTCATGAGGTACTTGCCTGTGGAGCCAGGGCTGAGAGCTGCAAACACCCAATGCAGATCAGGGCTGCCCAGAGGATTCAGGGGGCCTGGGGCAAAGCGGGGGAGCGGACATAAAAAAAGGCGCCACCTGCTGCGGCGCTTGTCCTCACTGGGCAGCGCTCCGAGTCTTCGGCAGCAGATCCTTCACTGGCTCTGGGTCTTCCATGGCACTGAAGGACCCCCCCCCTCCCCCGCTGCCGAAGTGCCGCCGAAGTCCCGGAGTGAGGTGAAGGACCCCCCGTCACCGAAGTGCTGCCGAAGACCCGGAGCACCGCCGGGTGAGTAAAAATTAAAAAGGCACCTCTAGCCAGGAAAGGGATTCTCGGCCAGGGCTCGTGGGGCCCCTGCAGAGCCTGGGGCAAATTGCTCCACTTGCCCCCTCTCTCCCCCAGGCGGCCCTGATGCAGGTAGGAGGCGGCCCCGACTGAGTAGGGAATGGCGCAGGTGATGACTTGGTGCCTCTCCACCCCCCCCGGCCTCAATAACCAGACTTTGTGTGTCCTGTCAATATTTCCCTCACAGCTGGATTTCCACTTGAGCCATTCTTGGATTCCCTGATGTGTGATTATTTGGCTCTCTTATGTATTCCTTTATAATTTGTTTTAAGATAGCAAGAAAACTTTTTTTTTTTTGTATCTCTGAGGGGATTAAAGGAACAAAACAGCCTCAAAGAAAGAGGGAATGGCAGCTCAGTGACATTCTTCTGTCCCTCTGAGTGAGCAGAAAACCCTCCATGAAGCTCGTACCCACATACATATTTGGGGATGACATGGGGCAGAAAGGGAGATCAGCTACTTTGCATAGCATGTTCCCCTTAATTACTGGCAGATTCCCATGTGAAAATTCACAGGATACTTAAATACTGGACAGACCAATATTAACTCTCTCCTGGGCCTTCTAGGCCCCTCAAAGAATAGGTAAAGCAAATAGGTGGGGTGAGCCAATGGTAACCTTGGTCCGGAGAGAGGATGGGTCATCACAAACACAATCTGGCTCAGTAATCCTATGTAGGGTGTCCAAGGCTGGCCTCGGTCTGTGGTAGCAGACTCAGAAAATAAAGGAAAAAATGCCCCAAATATATTTTAAACTGTCCTTTTAAGGGTCCAAACTCCAATTAGAAACGTTCTCCTTAAAGGAGCTTGCCTGTTTCTGGAGAAGGAAACCCAGGCTTCCATCAGCTGTGGAATGTTTGGAAAGAGTCCACTGCAAAGACCTGAGCAGGCTCCGTTGGGACCTTATAAGGAGATAAAAATATCAAACAGCCTTATCTACAGCCCTCTCCAAGTAGAGATAGAGCAGTCTGCTGTCCAAATAGCAGTAGCTCTGATTCTATTCCTCCCTAGGCTGTTTAAATAGCTCCCTTACTGAATCCAGGTGGAGATTTTCTCTCTTCCTTGGCAGGCAAAACAGGTTGTGTGAAGGGTTCCCCTTTCCCTGTAGGAAATTAACCCCTTCCCTCACTGCTGTAGTGTGACATATGTACAACCAGTCCCAGAGGAGCTCAGTGATGTGCCTCCTGGATGCCACCACAAGGATTTATGGGATTGGATCCTGAGTTCCTTGCAGCTGGGTCAGATTTGCAGGCTGCACCCCAGGTCTCTCCCCAAAGCCACAAACCCCTCCTCCCTGAGAGAAGCACAAGGCACTAACTCCAAGTTCTAACTCATGAGACCAGAGCCTTAACTGGCATATCTCCATCATTAACTTCAGTGCCAGTTTACAACAGTGGAGGATGTGGCCCATGGATTTTTTTAGTTATTTTTCCTATCCTGTGTTTTTTCCCCAGGAGAGGAACCCCATACCAGGTGGTAACAATATTTTCTTTCTTCTATTTGGAGCTCATCAGTACATCCTGTAGGGGAATCACATCAAGAGTGTGGTGGGGGAGATCCCAGGTCCTGTTTACATTAAGCAAATTTACACTAGTATAACTACATCAGTGTACACTGGTGCAAGCCCCTAAAGTAAACATGCTGCACAGATATGAAATAGTTTTCACCAGTGCAAATTCTGTGATGTAGCCTAATCTCAGTGCCTGACACTTAAGGACAGGGGTCTCAAACACGCCTCCTGGGGGCCGCATGTGGCCCGCGGGGTTGTTTTCTGCAGCCCGCGAACTCCTCACGGCCCCCCTCCCCAGTATTTACCTAGAGCAGCTCCAGCCCGACGCGCACCGGGGGAAGGGCAGGCTCCCGGGAAGGCCACTCCGGGAAGCGGCTGGAACATGGGGAATGGGGGGCACAGGGCTCTGTGTGTTGCTCTTGCTTCAGGCAGCACCCCCAGCAGCTCCCATTGGCCACAGTTCCCCGTTCAAGGCCAATGGGAGCTGCTGGGGGTGGTGCCTGTAGCAACAGCAACACACAGACCCCTGTGCCCCTCCTCCCCCAGGTTCCGGCCACTTCCCGGAGTGGTGCGGGGACAGGCAGGCAGGCGGCCTGCCCTGCTCCCGGGTGCGTGTCGGGACGGAGCCCGCCCCCCGAGCCCCTCCTGCAGCCCAACCCCCTGCTGTACCTCACACCCCTCCTGCACCCCACACCCCAACTCCCTGCCCTGAGCCCCCACCACACCCCACACCCTCCTGTCCTCCCTGGGGGCAGGAAGGGGGCAGAGTTGGGGTGGGGAATACAGGGAAGGGGTTGGAATGGGGGCAGGGCCTCATGAAAGGGGTGGAGTGGGGGCGGGGCCAAGGATGGCGGGGGAGGTGTCAGTAATGCGGCCCTCAGCCAATGTACTAGTCCTCATGTGACCCTCATGGTCATTTGAGTTTGAGACCCCTGCTTAAGGAAATGCGCATCAGAAGAGCAAACTACACTTTAGTACAGAAAACAATCTCATTCAAATAAAAATCTGGTATCTAAGGAGTAGAAACTTGCCATATAAAATATCCCACAGCAAAACTCTATCTGATCACATTTGTTAATCATTTTGTAACCACTTGTAAGGATCTTTAACATTACCCCTGACTTATGTCATTGCCTTTAGACTAGGCTATCAATGTACCTTGCCCATATTAATGCACCACAGAAAAAAAATCATTCTCAGAGAAAAATGGAAGTTTTATCCTCTAAAAAATAATAATTCAGGACACTCTGCCCTTCTGAGAATTTCAAAGCTCTTTACAACATCAGTTAATTAAAACTCACAGCATCTTTATGGAGTGGGTTAGTATTATCCCCCTTTTTACAGATAAAAGTCCTTGTGCCTCACTCCTGTAAAGTGTTTTGACAAATCTCTGATTGAGTCAGGAATAGGGCTGAGGGGTCTACACTGGGGGGGGGGGGAATTGATCTAAGATACACAACTTCAGCTATGAAAATAGCGTAGCTGAAGTCGATGTATCTTAGATCGACTTAGAATTACTTACTTTGCATCCTTGCGGCACGGGATCAATGGCCACGGCTCCCCCGTGGACTTTACTTCCACCTCTCGCCGAGCTGGAGTTCAGCAGTCGACGGGAAAGCAATCGGGGATCGATTTATCGTGTCTACACCACACGCGATAAATCGATCCCCGATAGATCGATCACTACCCGCCAATCCGGCGGGTACTGTAGACCTACCCTGAGCACCTTCCTTTGGACCACATTCCCTCGTTTATTCTTTCAGTCTGGGTGCATTTATTTATTTGTCATCGCAATATACTTGCAATTTGGGAGTTTGTTGTAAATAAGTACAATTTGCCTTTTCAGAAATGTTTTATTTTGTTGGTTTGGAACTCACTTAATGTGATACGTACGGTACTACAAACAGACAGAATACCTGAGAGACAAACAATTGTATGGCAGAGAGTCCTCAGTGATAAGAGACAAGTGGAAGTCTGGCTGTGAAGAAAATAACTGACTTCACTGTATTTTAAAATGTCCTCTACTTGAGGCTTACATTTATAATCTCTAACTTCCATAACATGGCCCCATGTGGGCCATAACAGTGGACTCTTTAAATTTGCCTGCTCCTGCAAGGTAAATAAACACTTATATCCAAGATACAAAAGACTTGTGATTTGGCTTAAGTTAATTAAGCCTGCTGTTCTGAAATACTGTAATTATCAAGATTCTTGGCTCAAGAAATCTAGATTTTCATAACAACATTCATTAATTCATCTTCATGTATGTAAAATTTGTTAGGGATACTGGAATGCATTGGATGTTAAATACTGCCTTGTTTTCCAAGAATGATAATGAATCATTATAACAAGGTTGTATCCATACTTTAAGCCAATAAGTGACATGCATGTCTACAAAAAGTGCTGTTCAGTTGGAACAGTTGGGAGTATGCGATAGGTAGATCAAAGTGCAGCACAAAATCCTTCTTTAGCAAAACCAATACTGCAGAAATAACCACTGACTAAAAAGAAATAATTTGCACTTTATTAGCATCTTTTATCAAAGCATTATATCTCAAAAGCACTTCAAATCATTAACTATGAAGCACTGGTGTCAATAAGATGATATATGATATTTGTTTGCTGCCACTTTCATTTTCTCCATTAATATTAAAAAATGTTAAAAAATAGAAGGAAATTGTGGCTAGAATACAAACGCTTATATTAGGCAAATTTGAGAAAGAGCCACATGGTACCATTTTAACAGTGATGGTGAATTAAATTTCAAATTATTGCATCAATGTGCTTTTGCTTTCCAGGTTTTTCATTTATAGATGAATTTGCTTTAAATACATAGACATGTTTCCATTTTTGGGTAAAAGGGTACTGCCAACTAATTTCCTCAGTTAATAAAATACTATCCAATTCGTTTTTAGATGTATCATGAGGCCAAAACAACACTGAATATTTTAGTTACTCAGTGATGGAGTGGGGAGAACTTTTTACTAGATTCTTGGCATCAGAGGGCATCTTTTTCTATAATAGTTTTAAAGTCTGTGGACCTAAACATCTTGACATTTTATCTTTTAGTAAATCTAAACAGCGTAGATACAATTAGTGGGGAGGTAAAAACTTTAATCAGAATCCAGATAAAATTTTATTGCAGCTGGATACAAAATACAGTTTATATATGTGCATTGCTAACAGGAATTAATAAAAAATGTAATGGGTTTTCTATATAAATCACTTTTAATAATTCAGGATATGTTTTATGAACCAATTGTAAAATCATTATTTTTATTACAGTGTAGTAAGAGGGAAGATATATTTATTTGGAGGGTGTTCAACCCAGGATGCTAAAGAATGTCTTCCAGGAGTCTACAGATTTGACCTCAGTGAGTAGAAATATAAGATTACATTTTGTGCTATTTATAGTTCACTAAGGTAATGATAAGTCTAAGGGACCATTATTCAAATTAAAGCAATATGCTGCTTTCACTATGAAAACTTGCAATGATTATTTTAATGTATTAATAATCAAGACACCCCCACATATGACTCCTAACACCTCTACCCTCCTCCAAAAATGGCATCCTTATCTTTTGTATGGAAAAGACTATGCTCTCCACAGATTGAGAGCTGTAATTATCTTAGAATGAAAGGTTTTAGAAGATGAAACCTAAACAAAATCTGCTTTTGAATCTGCATTTATAGTGCATCTTTTTTTTTATTGGCAGAAATATTTATTAGACCCAATCCCACAAAAAAATTGAGCTAATTCTGTGTAGATATTGTTTAATAGTCAGTTAACTAAATAAAGATGGTTGGCAATGGATTTACTCTGTTTATTGCTATGTAGCTGTTACTCTAATTCTAGAGCTTACTTTCCCATGACCCGTAGAGAAATAAAAGGAATACAGCTCATTTAAGAGTGCCTCTTTGAGGTATTAGAGAGGCAAGGTGGGTGAGTAATATCTTTTATTGGACCAACTTCTGTTAGTAAGAGAGATGAGTTTACAGAGAACTCTTCTTCGGGTCTTCATTGAGTTATGTCTTCTTACTTCAGTCCCTGAGACAATGTGATTAGTAGTTGAAATTCCTTGCTGTAAACTTTCCATGTGAAAGGTTAATTCTGTACCAAATGTCAGTTCATGATGCCCCACATTTCAAGTCAGGGCTTGTCTTCACTACCCGCCTGGATCGGCGGGTAGAAATCGATCTCTTGGGGATCGAATTATCGCGTCTCGTCGGGACGCGACAATCGATCCCCGAATCGACGCGCATACTCCACCAGCGCAGGTAGGAGTAAGCGCCGTTGATGGGGGAGCCGCAGCGGTCAATTTGCCACCGTCCTCACAGCGGGGTAAGTCGGCTCGGATACGTCGAATTCAGCTACGCTATCACGTAGCTGAATTTGCGTATCTTAAATCGATCCCTCCCCTAGTATAGACCTAGCCTCAGAGTAACTAGTTCCACAAAGGAACATACGTTTAGGCACTGAGCTAGACCTGGGCAAGACCCTCTAAAAGTTATAATTTTAAGCATTCATACATAAAACAAATAAAACTAATGGGGGAGGGATAGCTCAGTAGTTTGAGCATTAGCTTGCTAAATCCAGGGTTGTGAGTTCAATTCTTGAGGGGGCCATTTAGGAATCTGAGGCAAAAGAATTGGTCCTGCTAGTGAAGGCAGTGGACTGGACTTGATGACCTTTCAAGGTCCCTTCCAGATCTATGAGATAGGTATATCTCCATATATTATTTAATGGCTACATTTTGAAAAGTTAATGTACAAGTCACTTTCCCAGACGTTGTATAAGGTACATTATATATTTGGCTTGGGGGGGAAATGTTTTTTTTCCCCCAAAGATTAATGCACATTTTCAGTGTATATTCACATTCCTTAGGCAGAGGCATTAATATAAACACTATCTATATCACTTTGTACTGTATGATCATTGGATTTATTTATTTTGCAAAGTAAAAACCATTAAATAGTAATCAAAATTCAACAGTAAGGGCCAAATTTTCAAAATATTATGCACAAACGTGCACGAGCACCTCCCCTAGATATGCTAATAACCCTGACTTCAGAATATGCATTAGGGTAACTCACACAGTTTGCTTTGTATGTGACTCCTAATTTGCCTTCACACATTAGGGGATTTGCACAAGATTTCGGAAAGCTTTCTGAAGGTGATTACTATGTAATTTGGCTCAAAAATCAAGAGCAGAAGTCAGTAATTACAAAAATACATTATTGATTTGGTCTATAAAAGCATTATTACAATAAACCTATTTAAGATTGTTTGGTAATACTATATAAAGTTGCTGGTAACAGAGATGTGACCTATGATATATGTACTCTCTATAAAAATGATTTAACACTGCAGACATGCTGTATCGCTCTGATGTGTAAATGAGGTAAACTTTTACCAACCCCTCTCATTATTCATTTTTCTTTGTTTTGATATTCTGCAAAAATAACACATTTTTAAAAGTCTTTAAAGCTTTTTTAATTATTTTTTCAAGTAAGTAGCAATGGAAATAAAGGAACAAGTAATGGACAAGGTGTGTACAAACCAAATTCATGATGTAAATTTACAAAACAATGAAAATAAAAAGTGCAGTCTCAATCAGACAGTTTATCATTATTTGAAAAGATGAGCATACCATAAGAACATAAGAAAGGCCATACCGGGTCAGACCAAAGGTCCATCTAGCCCAGTATCCTGTCTACCGATAGTGGCCAATGCCAGGTGCCCCAGAGGGAGTGAACCTAACAGGCAATGATCAAGTGATCTCTCTCCTGCCATCCATCTCCATCCTCTGACAGACAGAGGCTAGGGACACCATTCCTTACCCATCCTGGCTAATAGCCATTAATGGACTTCACCATGAATTTATCCACTTCTCTTTTAAACTCTGTTATAGTCCTAGCCTTCACAACCTTCTCAGGTAAGGAGTTCCACAAGTTGACTGTGCGCTGCGTGAAGAAGAACTTCCTATTATTTGTTTTAAACCTACTGCCTATTAATTTCATTGGATGACCCCTAGTTCTTGTATTATGGGAATAAGTACATAACTTTTCCTTATCCACTTTCTCCACATCACTCATGATTTTATATACCTCTATCATATCCCCCCTTAGTCTCCTCTTTTCCAAGCTGAAGAGTCCTAGCCTCTTTAATCTCTCCTCATATGGGACCCGTTCCAAACCCTTAATCATTTTAGTTGCCCTTTTCTGAACCATTTCTAGTACCAGTATGTCTTTTTTGAGATGAGGAGACCACATCTCTGGGCAGTATTCGAGATGAGGGCGTAACATCAATTTATAAG